AGCCAGTCAGGGTGCAGTGTAGCAACGATGAAACATACAACTTTCCCCTAATTCCTAAATGCTGCCCCCACACACACACACACACACTATCATGATCCCAATTCTGCCTCACAAATCTGGCTAGACCAGAGAATGTACACTGCACAATAGTGTAGTCTGATAGTTTCTTTTTTTGTTTAATTATTTTTAAGGTTCTTTTTTATATAATTTTATTGGGGGCTCGTACAACTCTTATTACAATCCATACATCCATCTATTGTGTCAAGCACATTTGTACATTTGTTGCCATCATTGTTCTCAAAACATTTTCTTTCTACTTGAGCCCTGGGTAGCACCTCCTTATTTTTCCCTTCCCTCCCTGCCCACCTCCCTCAGTCTTGTAGCTTCATACAATATTTTTGTAAAATAATTTTCATATTTACCCTGAAATAACATGACTGAAGGAATGATGGGGAAATCAGGCTCAGAATATAGGCAACTAGTTTTTAAATGTATTAAACAATAAATGATATCGTTCACACAGGGTCAGGGAGTCAATATAGTATTGAGGTTTGAATCTTGAAGAAGCAGCCAGTAAATTCTTTTTTAACTGTTAAAGATGCTGAGCAAGTCTTTGCCCTCAGCTGTAGTTTAAATTCTGTGTGTACTTAAAGATCCTGCTCCAGTATACTCTTCAGGAACTTAATCTTCCCTCTTTACGGGTTAAATGATTCTCCCATGTGGAATCTTATTTTGTTTTTTAGTATAGACTTACTGTTTTGTTTTTTTAATAGTATAAATTATAAACTCTTTGAACTCAAAACTCATTGTTCTTCAACTCCAAAGACAGGTCTGGCCCAGAATCACACTTATCAAGGAGAAAGAATGGTTTACTTATCTTTTAAGCCTAATTCACTGTTTTTCTCCCGTAGTGTACCGCTGCTCATAGAGAGGATCGCTAATATTTAACTGCAGTTAGTCAACCCTCCCATTGCCTGCCAGTGACCATATTCTCAGAGCCCATGCGTGGCGCGTGCATCTCTGACCTCCTTCAGCTTCCCCATTGCCAAGGGGCAGGGGTCAGATATGTCTCCATGATCCACCCATTTACCACATTACTCTACTTTTTTATAGAAATTGTTTTATTGGGGGCTCTTACAGCTTTTATAATAATCCATAAATCAGTTGTATCAAGCACATGTTACATCATTTTCAAACATTTTCTTTCTACTTGAGCCCTTGGTATCAGTACCTCGTATTCTCCTCCCTTACCCCCCACTGCCACCGTTGGGAACCCTTGATAAATTATAAATTATTATTTTCATATCTTACACCATCTGCTGTCTCCCTTCACCCATGTTTTGGTTGTTCGCTCCCCAGCACTGTACTTCTATGCTGGGTTCTATAATTCTTTGCATTGGCCACTCACAAACAATACTCAAACTATGGGGGGTTACTAGGGATGTTAATAAATTACCACAAGTTAGGATTATTTAACACTAAGGTTACAGTCAATTGGTCCACAGCAACACCTCTCTAGTCCTCAGCCTCTCAGCCATGTTGGTGGTCCTTGGCTTCTGCCCCTTGTTGCTGTGTCTCACATTGCCATAATCTCAGCAGAGCTCCTCTTCCTGTGTCCCTTAGCCTCTGGTTTCTGACACCTCAGACAGGTCTGGAACTCAATTCCCAGGGTTCTGGGCGTTCTCTCTGCTGTAGCTGCTTCAAAGGTGGCTCATCCTTATAGCCAGAGAGGTAACAAAAACTGATCCAGTCCCTCTGTTAGTGTCATACATTCCCTATTTGCATAGCCTCACAAATACTTGGTGGAAGTTAGAGACATGCATAGAAAAGCCATATTAAGAAGTTTTACTCCATCACAGCG